AGAAAGAGAGGACATGTCAATAACGCCCCCTGAGTCTCTTGTTTCTCCCCCAAAGGTGCCCGTCCGACGCCATCTCCCCACGGCAGCCGTGGCCCCCAGCAGGGCAAGGTCCGGTCTGAGCTGAAGACCAAGCAGCAGATCTTCAAGGAGCGGAAGAAGAAGGCCAAGGAGCGCTTCCTGCAGATGGGAGGTCTGAAACGCCTGAAGTCCCGCAACCGCCAGCACCTACGAGAGATGCGCCGCTCAGCGTTTGGGCGCGGAGCCACCAAGAAGGGCAAGATGCGGAAGAGGATGTAGCTGGGTGCCCGGCATTCGGGACCCACCTATTACTAACTGAGCGAACAATTAAAATTATTTTTCCCCAGTGAGCTCTCCCTCTTTGCTATTTTCTCCACACAACAGTCCAACGAAGTTGGCCAGGCTGAGCCGAAAGTCACGCTGTTGTTTCCATACCTCAGTCACCCAATCTCTGTTCTTAAACAGAATGCCAGTGGCTTTCTGGTCTTATGGCAAATCATATATTTTTGCTTTTAGGGTTGAAGGTCCTCAAAGCTTGCACACACTGCAGCATCTGTGGGGTTACCACAATATTGCCACTACAATGTGTCTTGCGGCAGAGTTTCCCCTGAATTTGGACTTACTCTCTGAGGTCCCAAGAGCAAATATTCCTCTTACCCATTCATTCAAAGAGAATCTTTGTTCCAGAGAGCAATGCCAATGTGGCACAGTGGCGTGAGCATTGGGCTAGGACTCTGAGACCTGGGTTCAAATCCCCACTCGGCCATGAAAATGTATTGGGTGACTCTGGGCAAGTCCCACTCTTGTAGAAAACCCCACGATAGGGTTGCCATAAGTCAGAAACGACTCGAAGGCACAATGCTCCCCTTGTATCTTTTAAGGTGGCTAGGACTGACAGGAATTAAGAGTTCAACAAGTTTCAAGACTCATCAATTTCCCAGCCTTCTCCTAAGTTTTCTCAGAGTTTTCAGTAGAGACAATCCACTTTTAAACCCTGAGTTTAAACCCTGAGTTAGCCTTTAAGGATAATGATGGGAGAATGATAGGGGTGAAGTGTGAAGTAAATGGCTTAAGTATACTCATTTGTAATATCTATGCACCCAATGGAGCTAAGTCCGGCTTCGTAAAATCCTTAAAAAAGAAATTAACAGAGTACAGGACCGAGAACATAGTGATTGTGGGAGATTTTAATGGAGTTCTAGACAATAAAATAGACAAAGCTGGCAAAAAAACAAGGGGAGGAGACCCTAAAGGTGGGAACCTGCCATTGATCTTCACACAATTACAAAAAGAATTCCACCTACAAGATGCTTGGCGGACTCTGAACCCAGAAACAAGGGACTATACCTTCTTCTCAAAGAGGCATGAGACATGGTCTCGTATTGATATGTGCTGGATGTCCAAATCGCTAATTACTAAAACCAAGAAAGTAACAATATTACCTAGAACCCATACCGACCATTGTCCATTGAAAATTGATATGGCAATTAGACAACAAGAGAAAAGATGGAGACTTAACGATTGGTTAATACAATCAGAAGAGGATATTAAACACAATAAGAAAATAATTAAGGAATATTTCGAGAATAACATAGGTAAAGGAACCACACTAGGAACAGTATGGGACGCCAGTAAGGCGGTTATTCGTGGACATCTTATACAGCAAGGAGCTATTAAAAGCAAAAAAAGGAGAGAGGAGCAAGGGAAATTGGTGGAAAAATTAAAAAGCAAAGAGGACGAACTAAAGAGAAGGCCGGGAAACAAAAAAATCCAGCTAGAGATAGAAGTGCTGAGGAAAGAGGTGAATGCGGCCCAATTAAATCAAATGGCCAGGAAACTAAAATACTTAAGGGCTCAATTTTTTGCAAAAGCTAATAAGCCGGGGAAATTTCTGGCAAGAATGCTGGCGAAGAGGAGACAACAGAATTTCATTACACAAATAATAGAAGAAGGTAAGACCTATACGAAGGAAAAAGAGATTGCAAGGAAATTCAGGGAATATTATCAAAAATTATATAAGAAAGATGTAGTCTCAGAGGAGGATATAATGAAGTACATCTCTGATCAGAAAATCCCCAAAATATCCGACGCAGAAAGAGAATCATTGAATAAGGTTATAGAAGAAGAAGAAATTACAAGAGCTATAAAGAAGATGGCCAACAACAAAGCCCCGGGCCCGGATGGGTTGTCGGCATTTTACTACAAAACATTCAGGGAAGAATTAATCATTTGCTTAAGAGAAGTAACGAATAACATCTTGAAAGGTGAGGGGATGCCGGAGACGTGGAATGAGGCATACATATCGCTAATTCACAAAGAGAACACAGAGACTACAAAACTTAAAAACTACCGCCCCATCTCCCTTCTGAATTGTGACTGTAAGATATTCACAAGCATAATAGCAGAAAGATTTAAAGCACTACTAAGAGTAAAAATCAACGAGGATCAAAGAGGTTTTTTACCGGGAAGGCAGATGAGAGATAACAGCCGATTACTCCTTAACATCATAGAGTATTACGAAAAAAACCACCAAAAGGAAGTAGGTCTGCTTTTTCTCGATGCGGAGAAAGCTTTTGACCACACGAACTGGGACTTCCTACTACTCTTGTTGAGGGAAATGGATATAGGCTACCCTATAATGAATGTGGTAAAGACAATGTACTCCAAACAAACAGCAAATGTACTAATCAATGGCCTGCGAACAGAGGAAGTGGAAATACAAAGAGGGGTAAGGCAAGGGTGCCCTCTCTCCCCTCTTTTGTTTATTTTGGTGTTGGAAGTTTTATTGGAGGACTTAAGAAAGGATAAAGAGCTAAGAGGCCTCAAAATAAGATCAGAAGAATACAAAACCTTAGCGTTCGCAGATGATGTGGTCTGCATTATGGAGTCTCCATTAGAAACTATTGAAAAATGGATATCTAAAATTGAAAAATTTGGTGTACTAGCAGGATTTAAGATAAACAAAAATAAAACAAAAATTCTTACTAAAAATGTTAAGGCAGAAAGAAAGGTAAAGATTGTTTCGAAGTCTGGAATTGAAGTGGTCAATAAAATTAAATATCTAGGCATAGTAATTTCGGCTTCAAATATGAATCTGTTTAAGGATAACTATGAAAAAACCTGGGGTAATATAATAAAGAAATTCAACAACTGGAAATATTTAAATCTATCTATACTAGGAAAGATTGCAGCCATAAAATTGAGTGTATTACCTAAGATGATTTTCATGTTCCAGATGATACCAATTATTAAGACAAATACATGTTTCCAAAAATGGAACAAACAAATATTAAATTTTATATGGGAGGGGGAAAAAGCCAGAATTAAGATTAAAAATCTCACAGACGCCAAAAGTCGGGGAGGATTGGCCATGCCGGACATGCAGCTGTATTTTGAAGCCTGTGCCCTATCATGGGTGAAAATATGGGCTACCCTGGAGCAAAAAAAATATTAACTATAGAAGGTTATGACATTAGAAGAGGGTGGCACGCTTACCTAAGCTATGGAAAGGCAAGGATAGAAAAAAACTTTACTAATCATTACATCAGAGGCCCCCTACTAAAGACCTGGAACAAGTATAAAGACATCATTTACCCCAGAATACCCATGTGGACATCGCCAATAGAGGCATATCATAAAAGAGAGTTACCGAAAAGTAGATGGCTTAATTACAGGCAACTATTGGTTAAAATCAACAATGAATGGCACCTGAGGTCTATGGAAGAATTAAAGAGGGAAGATAAAGAACTAAATTGGCTACAATATATACAAATTAAAGAAACTTTAAAGGAAGATCTAAAAGTGGGATTTAGCGAAAAGGACACGTGTTGGGATATAATTATGAAAAAGGATAAGAAGCTGGTTAGAATCTTGTATCGAAACCTGTTAGAGTGGAATACTGAAACGGAAATAGTAAAAGAAAATATGGTCAAGTGGGCCAGGGATATAGGCCACTCTATACTAATAAGCGAATGGGAACAAGTATGGAAGGTCAAGCTTAAATACACTAGAGCCAGCAGCATAGTAGAGAACTGGCACAAAGTTTTTTATAGATGGCATTTGACACCTGTACAATTGGCGAAATTTAGTAAAAATAACAATACGCAGTGCTGGAAGTGCGGAAAGGAAGCTGGAACCTATTTCCATTTGTATTGGAATTGCAAGAAGATTAAAAAATTTTGGACGATGGTTCATTTACATACACAAAACATTATTAAAACAAAGTTTGAGCTCAAACCTGAATATTATTTATTGAACATAACAGATTTAGGTCTGAAGAAAAATGAAGAAAAATTTTTGTTTTATTTATCGTCGGCAGCCAAAATATTGATAGCCCAGAAATGGAAAAGTAAAGAGATTCCAACTAATGAAGATTGGATAAAGAAAATAACAGATTTCAGAATTTGTGACAGATTATCGAGTCAAATAGAAGAACTCAGTAAGACCAAACAAATAAGCTGGAAGGACATGGAAGAATATTTGAAAAGCAAATTCAAACTGGACACTTAAAAGTCGATGGGTAAGAAGAGCAAGGACAGCAAGGAACAGGAAAAAGGAACAATACAACGAGATAATCACTCCTTTGCGGACTGAACGGAAGTGATGCACACATTCGTCTGACCCCCATCCCATTCTCCACCCATTCCTACCTCCCCTTTATCCCTTCTATTCTACTTCTGGGCCCCTCCCTACCTCTCTTACCCCGCCTACCCTTTATTTTATCCCCCACGGTCTGTCTAAACTTCACAACTTTCTATCACAATAATTGTTCTCCCTCTTTCACTGTAAAAGAAAATGGTATAAAAATTAATTAAAAAAAAAAGAGACAATCCACTTTTTACAAAACTTTTTATTCGTTTCTTATTGGCAGTTCATGAGGGCGAGAAACCTGCCGGTGGTTTTGACAAAGACAGCCGAACATCCCAAGAAGTGAATTGGCTGGCTCTGTTGAATCCAAATCTCCCCATGTCCTCCTTCATGCCCACATCAGCAAATATAGTGTTAACGGTTGTCTGTTGCCAATATGAGAGGTTGCCATTTGGAGTTACGGAAGCAGCTGAGGTTTCCCTGCTCACCCGGGATGCTGAATGCTGGCCTCGGACTGAGACGCTGTCCTGGGCTCTGGCTGTGAAACTGGTGTGGGTTCACTTTTACGGAAATTGGCCAGGATGTCAATTAAGTCCACGATGCAGAGCTGGACCTGGTGGGAAAGAGATTTGAGATGAGCTCAAGCTACACTAATCTGAGTTGAGTTACCTGATGTCTGGCGGGTAGATGCCCATTACACTATGTAACACAATTTTTGTTCTTGGGTTAATAAATGACATTTCCTAATCATAAAAACATGGCAAAAGTTGATTAAACTGCAAAAAACTTTTTTGCTATCGTTTTTCAATGCATATCTCATCATCGGATCTCAACCAATTCAACTTAGTTTGCAGCAGCCACAAAAACAAAGTTTCTGGAGTAGAACTACTTTCAGAGTAAGTGCCGCACAATTAAACAGGAAACAACACATTCAAACCATTTTCCCCCAATTTTTGTTACATAGTGTAATGGGATAAAGCTGAGCTATGAAATAAAAATACAGCAAACAGCAAAATGTTTAGAACAATTGTGAGGTAGCCTTTGCCTGAAGCTAACAGATCTGGACCTATTGGTAGCTCTAATTAATTAATTAATTTATTTATTTTGCTTATATACCGCTGTATCTCAAGCCCGAAGGCGACTCACAGCGGTTCACAAACAGTAAAACAAAGCAAATGACTTGGATTAATCTATGAATGGACTCAGTATTCAACCATTGATTCAACAGACCTGTTGTTGTTCATTCGTTCAGTCGTCTCCGACTCTTCGTGACCTCATGGACCAGCCCACGCCAGAGCTCCCTGTCGGCCGTCACCACCCCCAGCTCCTTCAAGGTCAGTCCAGTCACTTCAAGGATGCCATCCATCCATCTTGCCCTTGGTCGGCCCCTCTTCCTTTTGCCTTCCACTTTCCCCAGCATAATTGTCTTTTCTAGGCTTTCCTGTCTCCTCATGATGTGGCCAAAGTACTTCAACTTTGTCTCTAGTATCCTTCCCTCCAATGAGCAGTCGGGCTTTATTTCCTGGAGGATGGACTGGTTGGATCTTCTCGCAGTCCAAGGCACTCTCAGAACTTTCCTCCAACACCACAGCTCAAAAGCATCGATCTTCCTTCGCTCAGCCTTCCCTAAGGTCCAGCTCTCACATCCGTAGGTTACTACAGGGAATACCATGGCTTTGACTAGGCGGATCTTTGTTGTCAGTCTGATGTCTCTACTCTTCACTATTTTATCGAGACTGGACATTGCTCTCCTCCCAAGAAGTAAGCGTCTTCTGATTTCCTGGCCACAGTCTGCATCTGCAGTAATCTTTGCGCCTAGAAATACAAAGTCTGTCACGGCCTCCACGTTTTCTCCCTCTATTTCCCAGTTGTCAATAATTCTTGTTGCCATAATCTTGGTTTTTTTGATGTTTAGCTGCAACCCAGCTTTTGCGCTTTCTTCTTTCACCTTGATTAGAAGGCTCCTCAGCTCCTCCTCGCTTTCGGCCATCAGAGTGGTGTCATCTGCATATCTGAGGTTGTTAATGTTTCTTCCAGCAATTTTCACCCCAGCTTTGCATTCATCAAGCCCCGCACATCGCATGATGTGTTCTGCATACAAGTTAAAAAGGTTGGGTGAGAGTATGCAGCCTTGCCGTACGACTTTCCCAATCTTGAACCAGTCTGTTGTTCCGTGGTCAGTTCTTACTGTTGCTACTTGGTCCTTGTACAGATTCCTCAGGAGAGAGACAAGGTGGCTTGGTATGCCCATCCCACCAAGAACTTGCCACAATTTATTATGATACACACAGTCAAAGGCTTTAGAATAGTCAATGAAGCAGAAATAGATGTTTTTCTGAAACTCCCTGCCTTTCTCCATTATCCAGCGGATATTGGCAATCTGGTCTCTCGTTCCTCTGCCTTTTCTAAACCCAGCTTGAACATCTGGCAACTCTCGCTCCATGTCTTGCTGGAGTCTTCCTTGCAGGATCTTGAGCATTACCTTACTGGCATGAGAAATAAGGGCCACTGTACGGAAGTTTGAGCAGTCTTTCGCATTTCCCTTTTTTGGTATGGGGATATAAGTTGATTTTTTCCAGTCTGATGGCCATTCTTGTGTTTTCCATATTTGCTGGCATGGCATGCATCACCTTGACAGCATCATCTTTTAAGATTTTAAACAGTTCAGCTGGGATCCTGTCGTCTCCTGCTGCCTTGTTGTTAGCAATGCTTCTTAAGGCCCATTCAACCTCACTCCTCAGGATGTCTGGTTCTAATTCATTCACCACACTGTCAAAACTATCCTCGATATTATTATCCTTCCTATACAGATCTTCTGTATAGTCTCGCCACCTTCTCTTGATCTCTTCAGCTTCTGTTAGGTCCCTGCCATCTTTGTTTCTTATCATACCAATTTTTGCCTGAAATTTACCTCCAATGTTTCTAATTTTCTGGAAAAGGTCTCTTGTCTTTCCTATTCTGTTGTCTTCTTCCACTTCCATGCATTGCTTATTTAAAAATAGTTCCTTATCTCTTCTGGCTAACCTCTGGAATTGCGCATTTAACTGGGCATATCTCCCCTTATCACTGTTTCCTTTTGCTTTCCTCCTTTCTTGGGCTACTTCCAGTGTCTCAGCAGACAACCATTTTGCCTTCTTGGTTTTCTTTTTCTTTGGGACGTACTTTGTTGCCGCCTCCTGAACAATGTCGCGGACTTCTGTCCATAGTTCTTCTGGGACTCTGTTTACTAAATCTAGTCCTTCAAATCTGTTCTTCACTTCCACTGTATATTCGCTAGGAATGTTAGTGAGATCATATCTAACTGGTCTGTGTATTTTCCCTGATCTCTTTAGTTTTATTTTAAATTGAGCAATAAGAAGTTCGTGATCTGAGCTACAGTCAGCCCCAGGTCTTGTTTTCACCGACTGGATGGATGTCCGCCACCTTTGGCTGCAAAGGATGTAGTCAATCTGATTTCGGTGCTGACCATCCGGTGAAGTCCATGTGTAAAGCCGTCTTTTAGGTTGTTGGAAGAGAGTGTTTCGTTATACACAGCGAGTTTTCCTGGCAAAATTCTATCAGCCTGCGTCCCGCTTCATTTTGTTCTCCCAGACCATGCTTGCCTGTGATCCCAGTTGTCATTTGACTTCCCACCTTGGCATTCCAGTCTCCTGTAATGAAAATAATGTCTCTTTTTGGTGTATTATCCAGCAGGTCCTGCAGATCCTCATAGAACTGATCTACTTCTGCTTCTTCAGCAGCTGTGGTTGGGGCGTATATTTGGATCACTGTAATGTTGAAAGGCTTTCCTTGCACTCGAATTGAGATCATTCTGTCATTTTTTGGGTTGTATCCAAGCACCGCTTTAGCGAATTTCTTATTAATTATGAAGGCTACTCCATTTCTTCGATGTTCCTCTTGTCCGCAGTAGTAGATCTGGTGGTCCTCTGATGTGAAGTGGCCCATTCCAGTCCATTTCAGTTCGCTGACCCCCAGAATGTCTATCTTTAGTCTTGACATCTCACCAATAACAACATCCAATTTGCCCTGGCTCATAGATCTTACATTCCAGGTTCCTACGGTGTGTTGATCTTTAGAGCATCGGATTCGTCGTTCACCTCCAGTACCGTCGGCCGCTAGCCTTCCTTTCGGCTTTGAGCTAGCTGCGTCATCACATCTGGGGCTAGTTGAACTTATCCTCTGCTCCTCCCCAGTAGCATTTTGGCCATCTTCCGACCTGGGAGTCCCATCTTCCAATGGCATACCGACATATCTCTGGTTGTACTGGTCCATTTAGTTTTCTTGGCAAGGATACTGGAGTGGTTTGCCGTTGCCTTCCCCAGGGATCACGCTTGGTCTGACCTCTCTGCCACGACCGTCCCGTCTTGGGTGGCCCTTCACGGTTTCGCTCATGACATCATTGAGGTGCTCAAGCTCCAGCGCCACAACAAGGCGGTGATCCTTTGCTGGAGCAACAGACCTAGTTATATATATATATATCATGTCAGGAGCGACTTGAGAAACTGCAAGTCGCTTCTGGTGTGAGAGAATTGGCCGTCTGCAAGGACGTTGCCCAGGGGACGCCCAGATGTTTTGATGTTTTAACATCCTTGTGGGAGGCTTCTCTCATGTCCCCACATGGGAGCTGGAGCTGACAGAGGGAGCTCATCTGCGCTCTCCCTGGATTTGAACCCTGGACCTGTCGGTCTTCAGTCCTGCCGGCACAAGTGTTTAACCCATTGTGCCACTGGGGGCTAGTTGGGACTAAATGACTGAATGTCCAACCTCTGTCTCAAATATCTTTGTCATAGCTACAACACCCATGATTTCCAGCCAGCAGCGGGTCTGTGACAGTATATGGACTGCAGTTCCCATCAGCCATAGTCTGCAAGCTTAGGGGTGCTTGGTATTGCAATCTAACGTGTGAAGGGTTCGGCCACTGAGAATAATAGGAGCTGCACCCCCAACTCCTCTTCAAACCAAGGGATTACAGAAGTCTGACTATAAATAGACTAGAGTGAAGGGAACTGTATGAACACTGACCGCATTGAGCTGGGCATTGGTGTCATCCAGGGGCACATTGGTGGGCATCTTCTTATATTTGGCAACCATCTGGAAGAGGTTCAAGGTGGCCAACTTCACCTGCCCAAGTTCCAAGGTCTTGTGGGCGGCCGTGTTCTGTATGCAAAACCAGTTTGACTCCTGAAACCAGGAAGGCAAGAGAAATCTCACACGTCTTGCCTCCACTTCACCTTTCAGTGCCAACGAGGCCAGTTACCAGTTTCTTACCAGTTCCAGTACTTTGGTCTGGACCTGGTCCATCTGAGCCTGTAGCTCGGCCACCCGGTTGTTCTCCTGCAGGATCTGGTTGCCGCTCTCCTCTCGATACTGCTCCAAGTGGGCATGTGCCTCTTCCACGGCTTCGCGGGCAACATGCTCCCGCTGCACCAAGGCCGCCTGGGTGGACAGCAGGGCCTGGAAACGGGCAATCAGCTCTGGGATGTCCTGAAACTGAATTGGAAGAGGGTGCGAGAATCATCACATTGAGGAAGGGTCTCGAGAGGCCATCTAGTCCGGCCCACTTCTATACAGGAACATGTAGTGAAAGCACTCCTAAGTGCTTAGAGTCTAGAAATGTGTCATACAATCATGGAGTTGGAAGAGACCACAAAATCCATCCAGTTCAACCCCATTTTGCCAGGCAGGAATCCAAGCCCTCCCAACAGATGGCCATCCAGCTTCTGCTTCAAAATCTCCAGAGAAGGAGACTCCACTGGATTCCCAGGCAGCGTATTCTACTACCAAATAGCTCTTACCAAAAAGAAGTTCTTCAGGTGGCATCTTCTTTTTCCTGCCATTTTAATCAATGGCTCTATTGTGTCCTAGTCTTTGGAGCAGCAGAGAACAAGCCTGCCCCCTTCCTCAATGGGACCTCCTTTCAAATCTTTATTAAGTCCCCTCTCAGCCTTCTTTTTGCCAAGATAACATCCCCAGCTTTCTAACTCACTCCTAATAGGACTTGGCGACCAAACCTTTGAACATTTTTGTAGCCTTTCTCTGGAAACTCCATTTTCTCCATCTCCTTCTTGAATCACATTACTCAGAACTGTACATGGGGTAATTATTCCAGGAGAGATTGGGGCTATGACTCCTCTCAATGTAGACAATGTAGACCTACTGATGCAGCCCGGAATCACATTGGCTTGTTAAGCTGCCACGTCACACCTTTGACTCAGTGTGACACCATGGATGTATGTCATTTCTTCTCCAGGAGGGGTAGCTGTCAAGCTATGGAGATCTTGGTAAAGCTCCTTTGGACTCAAGACACCCCAATTGTCACAGTCACTGGTCATACTAACAAAAACGTCCTGTGAATTAAATTGGAAAAAGGAACTTTGACAAGATCTGGAACGACATGGTGCCAACCAGTTACCACCCTCTCATCCTGGCATGGAGGAAAGGAGGCAGAGCTGACACAAGACATGGGGGCATGCTGGTTTGGATAAGGCCAGCTTGTGGCATCTTGAGCAAGTGGTTGGGGGAAAACATGAGACGTCCTTGTCCTCTCACCTGGTCTGTGTTTTCCAGGACCTTCCACAGATAATCCGGGAAGACCTTGTGAGCAGCCAGACGCTTCTGAAGCTTCTCCCTCACTGTCAGCAGCCGTGTAATTTCTCCCCGAAGGCGCTCAGTTTCTGCCCCTCGCTGGGTGGCTTGGCGCTGTTCTAGCCCGGCTTTGCGTAAGGCCCGGCTTCGCTTGGCATCGTTTTCCTGCCAAAGAGGAGCAAATCAGCTCAGAAGCCTATTCCTTCATTCCTTCCGACTGTCCCAATTCAGCAGGAATGGTCCCGACAAATCCTCTGCTATCTTTCCTTGGCTTATATGCCCCACCATCCCGTACCCTGGCAATGCCCTCCAATCCCCTCCTCCAGACCTTCAGGAACTTGTCAAACTTCAAGATGGCCTGTTTGAGCTGCCTCTCTTTGCCTTCCAGCTCCCGGCGTCGCTCCTGGATGTCTTCCATCTTGATTTGAAACTCCTGCAAAAGGGATACAAAAAGCAGCGAACGAGGGAGACCCATGTATTTGACAAAGCATCCCCAAACTGGTGGCTTTCCTTGACATATTCTGAGCTGCCAATTCGTCTAGCCAGGAGCTGGCTTCTCGCTCCTTTGAATCCTATTCTGCAAATCCGGTTGGCAAAGTTTGGGATTTGTCAGCTCAGTACTTCAAGAGGTCACTGTGACTCTTTGCTTTCGCATGTCCTGACGCTTCGATCTCCCTTAATACTCTGCACAGATTTCCTAAAATCACAAAAACCCAGGCTTCTACAATGCAATAAATTGTGTGTGTTGCCTTGTGTTCCTAGCAGGTACTTTAAAGCCAACCAGCTCCTTGATCTCTCTTTTTTAAAATTTATTTTATTGAATTATTAACTTAGTGGGCTATGAGTATGGCGTAGATGTAGCTTATCTTGTTTTCTGCGGCTCTGCAGCTTAATTCTAAGGTTGGATTCCACTGAGGACACTTCTAGACACTGCCAAAATGCAGGATTTCTAAGAGGGACAAAAACAAAAAACCAACAAAAAAAACAAAAAATGAACCTGAGACAGGATCTGCACACAGACCTTGCCAGTCCTGGGATTTCTTCCCCTGCCATTCGCACTGGCCTCCCTTCTGTGTCACAGGATAAAATGGAGAGGCAGACAGGGACATTTAAAAATTTATTTATTGTGTCAGGGGCAGACCAAACAATTGCATTGCATTTTTTAACAAACAAACAAACAAACAAACAAACCACAAAGTTTTCAAGCTTGGTAGCTGATTAAATGTCCTTTGACCAGTATCTGGCCACTTGGAGTGCCTCAGGTTGCATTGCAGCAGGTGGTCAGTGGTTTGCTCTTCTCCACACTCGCATGTCGTGGATTCCACTTTGTGGCCCCATTTCTTGAGGTTGGCTCTGCATCTCGTGGTGCCAGAGCACAGTCTGTTCAGCGCCTTCCAAGTCGCCCAGTTTTCTGTGTGCCCAGCGGGGAGTCTCTCATCTGGTATCAGCCATTGATTGAGGTTCTGGGTTTGAGCCTGCCACTTTTGACTCCCGCTTGCTGAGGTGTTCCAGCAAGTGTCTCTGTAGATCTTAGAAAACTATTTCTTGATTTAAGTCATTGATGTGCTGGCTGATATCCAAACAGGGAATGAGCTGGAGATATTACTGCCTTGGTCCTTTCACTATTGGCTGCTACTTCCCAGCGGATGTCAGGTGGTGCAATACCGGCTAAGAGCCACATCCACTGTTTTAGCATGGTGAGATGTGTTCCACACTGGGCATGCGTACTCAGCAGCAGAGTAGCATAGCGCAAGGGCAGATGACTTCACTGTGTCTGGTTGTGATCCCCAGGTTGTGCCAGTCAGCTTTCGTATGATATTGTTTCTAGTGCCCACTTTTTGCTTGATATTTAGGCAGTGCTTCTTGTAGGTCAGAGCATGGTCCAGGGTGACTCCCAGGTATTTGGGTGTGCTGCAATGCTCCAGTGGGATTCCTTCCCAGGTAATCCTCAGAGCTCAGAATGCTTGTCTGTTCTTGAGGTGAAAAGCACATGTCTGTGTTTTAGATGGGTTAGGGATCAGCTGGTTTTCCCTGTAATAGGCAGTAAGAGCACCTAGAGCTTTGGAGAGCTTCTGTTCAACCATCTCAAAGCTCCCTGCTTGAGCGGTAATGGCACAATAATCTGCATCGATGAAACTCTCTGTCCCTTCTGGCAGTGGCTGGCCATTTGTCTAAATGTTGAACATGGATGGAGCAGGCATGCTCCCCTGAGGCAGGCCGTTCTTCTGTTTCCGCCATCTGCTTCTCTGGCCCTGGAACTCAACAAAGAAGCTCCTGTTTTGTAGCAGGTTTCCTATGAGGCGGGTGAGATGATAGTCCTTTGTGATATTATACATTTTTCTCAGGAGGAGGTGGTGGTTTACAGTATCATAAGCTGCTGACAGGTCTATGAAGACAGCTCCTGTGATCTGCTGCCTTTCAAAGCCATCTTCTATGTGCTGAGTCAGGTTCAGCACTTGTGATGTGCAGCTTTTGCCTTTCCTGAAGCCAGCTTGAAAATAAAAGTATATGTTTATGCGCTGATCCATATATGCGCATATACAGATAATAATAATAATAATAATAATAATAATAATAATAATAATAATAATAATGTTTATTTATACCCCACCACCATCTCCCCAACAGGGATCCAAGGCGGCTAACATGAGGCCAGGCCCAAAATTATAACAAAACAAATACAAATATAGCAAATAAAATACAAACAAGCAAAACACCATCAAAATAAATAAATAACATAACGAAATAAAATAACAGGTCCAAAATGACATGAAAAGAAATAAGACACAGTGGGCAGGCCAGATATATTAAAAGTGAAGTTGATAAAATTTGATAAAACCCTGGATGAGATGGGTAGAATATGTTTCTGAGGGAGAATGTGTTTCTAAGGGGGGGGGGGGAATCAGTGCATAATTGAGGGATTTTTTTTTTAAAAAAACCCCTTCTGCCAGATTTCCCCCTTCTCTAATTATTTATTAAACGTCTGTTTAATACTAAAGGTAAAGGTAAAGGTTTTCCCCTGACATTAAGTCTAGTTGTGTCCAACTCTGGGGGTGGTGCTCATCTCCATTTCTAAGCCAAAGAGCCAGCGTTGTCCGTAGACACCTCCTAGGTCAAATGGCCAGCATGACTGCACAGAGCACCGTTACCTTCCCTCAGAAGCAGTATCTATTGATCTACTCACATTAGCATGTTTTTGAACTGCTAGGTTGGCAGAAGCTGGGGCTAACAGGAAGAGCTCACCCTGCTCCCTGGATTCGAACCACCAACCTTTCAGTTAGAAAATTCAGCAAATCAGTGATTTAAGCTGCTGCGCTACCAGGGGGCCCATAGTTTAATACAATAAAGTGAAAAATAAAGAGTTTCTGACTCTCCATTCATGCTTCCTGTCAATCAGCTGTGCGTCCGCATGACAGCCCAATCAGCTGATCAGCTGTTTCAGGCTTTAAAAAAGGAACAGGTATCAGCTGGAGCAGTCCTGGAGGCAGGGGAAGTAAAACAGTGTTTTCTGGCATGCAGGGTCCAATAGACATGCAAAGATCCGCTTCTTTCAGCCAGAAACAGGATAAAGGGGGGCTTTTTTATCTCATGGCTTCCCTCCTTCGTAGCGAATCATTATGAGTTTTCCAGTGACATTGTCTAGCTACCCCTCCGTTCTGAAACAGGATTTTGAAACGGGAGCTCTTATGATTAAATTACTGTGTGGATGGGGCCTAAAAGTTGACCCTAGAGCTGTGTTGGAAAACCTAGAGATCCACAGAGAGGACACCTGTCTAGAAAATTCTAGGTCTTCTAGTGCAATTGCACCACCAAGAGCCCCCGGTGGTGCAATGGGTTAAACCCTTGTGCCGGCAGGACCTCTGACCAAAAGGTCGGCAGCTTGAATCTGGGGCATGGGGTGAGCTCCCATCTGTCAGATCCAGCTTCCCATGCAGGGACATGAGAGAAGCCTCCCACAGGATGGTAACACATCTGGGCGCCCCCTGGGCAACGTCCTTGCAGACAGCCAATTCTCTCACACCAGAAGTGACTTGCAGTTTCTCAAGTCGCTCCTGACACGAAAAAAGTGCAATTCTATAGTTATCCTCTACTACACATTGACCATAGAGTCATAAATTAAATCAATTAAATCAGACAACCAGGCGAGTAAGACCAGCAGGATTGATGAAGTGGAACGTAAAACTAAATCTATGAGTAGCGAACGCTGACCATGTAAGAGGAGAAATTGGGTTTGTATTTGGTTTTATTGATTTTATTGATTTTATGGTTATAATGCATAATTGTTGTTAACTGTGTATTGATGTAATTTTGTGTATGATTGTTTTTATGATGCAGGCATCAAATTGTGCCTTTGCTTTTGTAAGCCACCCTGAGTCCCCTTCGGGGTGAGAAGGGCGGGGTAAAAGAACCCCAAATAAAATAAATAAAATAATAAATACTGGAAGACTTAGAGATTTCTAAAGGATGGCTGTCACTGGAGGATCACAGGAAACAGCCAGCGATTACCCCAAGAGGCCATTAAAGGGTTGCCATGGAGACCTACATCTGTCGGGTGTGCTCACTCCCTGAGGGACAGAGGAAGTACTGCTTTGCTTTTTGGTTTGGTGATAGTTTTCCTATTACAAGATAGTTTTCCTACTAAATACCATTCCAGAATGCAAACCGGGGACCAAAGCAAGAATATAACAAAAGTGACAATACGTATGATGTTTGTTCTTCAAGGGCTCCTCCATGGCTTGACTGGAACTGCATCAAACTTGGCACACGGACCCATCATGATCCAATGTAAAATACTGGTTGGATTGAAAGGGGGGTGGGCTTATAGAGGATGATAGTAGTTGTATTTCCCCACATCCAGAGAGACACAGGAATCCCACCCATGATGGATCACGCTTGGCATAGAAACCCATCATGATCCAGCTTAAAATGCGGATCATGAAGCCATTTTACAGGTATGTATTTTCTAATGGGACAAATCATAAAACTATATGGTTCCCTTCTGTACAGAAGGAAGTGTCATGTCTTTGAAACCAGACTTGCCATTCCAGCAGAGCCTGCATTACCTCCTTCTTGGCAGCCAGGGCCTGCTCCACTTGGGCCAGCTCTCTCTGCTTCTCCAAGAGGCAGCAAGCCGAGGGCAGAAAGTCATCCTCTTTTTGAGGGATGTCCCTGGAAGATGCAAGCAGAAGAATCACAAGAAGAGATAAACCAAAAATACAAAAATTGTTGGGACTCAACCTGTGATTGAACCTGAGCATGGGCTTGAACCTGTAAATGTGTTTCAGTCTCCTGATGTTTCTATGTCTGATGTGGGTAATGAGGAGGGAAATCAGTGCCCTGTTGCTTCTGATGTGGGGGATGCTGGGACTGACTCTGAGGTGCAAGATGGAGACACTTTGGTCAATGAGTTTCATGCAGACACTGACAGAAGTTTCGGAGCAAAGGGCAGATTCTCATGAGAATGTTTCTTTCAGGCCTTGGGAGAAAGGTTTGCTCCCTCCGTCTGTGAGCTCTCCAGATTCTAGTTTGGAAAACAGTTTGACACCTGGTAAAGTTAATGAGGAGTCAGATAAGCAGAGTCAGCAGCTGGAGATTAGCCAGAATCGACAAGAGGCCCAATGTTTACGTAGATCCGAAAGAATTCGTCAATTAAAGTCAAAGACTGGGGGGAAACAAAACCAGTTTTTGGGATTTAAGGTTTGCCTGTAGAAAATCTTGTCAGATCAGGCATCGTTCGGAAACTAAGTTCTTGTGCCATGGAAGTCTTGTTCAAGGGATCTTGTTTCTGTGGAGTTTTTTTTAGCCTTTTGGATTGTCTTTGATTCCTGTCTGGATTAATGCTGTCTTGGATTGCCTGTATTTCTTGTGTGGACATTGCTTTGGGTTACTACTGTGTATGGACTAATACTTTTTGAAACCTTCTGATTTTCTTACAAGCATTTATTTCTTCTGGGTATTTACTAAGCTTCAATAAAAGAAGATTTGATTCTTCACTTTCGTGTGGTGTGTTTTAAGTCAGAGGGCTTCTTCTGGACCTGGAGTGCAACAAAATATTTCCTGGTTCCAATATCTTCAAATCAAAGGATACTATGATAAAGATAAAAAGATAGGATTTACAGACAAAGAAAAGTTCTGGGATAACATATGGAACTCGGAAAATATACAAGAAATTGTTGGAATGGTCGACGGAGATGGAACAGGTAAAAGAATGTATTATAAAGTGGGTGCCCAACATAGGGTGCCCAATAAAAATAGAAGAATGAGGGAAAAATCTGAAATAAGAAATTGAAATATACCTATGCAACAGATTTAAAAGAAAATTGGTATAAAATGATTTTTTGATGGTACAATATTCCCTTGCTACTTCATGGTTTGCTTTTCGCAAACTCGCTGTTTTTGCCTCCCAGTTTATGAATGGTTGCCGTTGCCCAGAGTGGTGTTCTAATCCTGCCTCCTGGCAATGATGGAGTGCGGAAGGGGAGAGATTGCAAAGCAAAGCAGAGATGGCTAGCAAAAAGAAAAAGTGTGTGTGGTGCCTTTAAATCTCTCCTCGTTTCTGCCTCACCCTCGAAACTCGCTATACATATATAGCATCCCTACTTCGTGGATTTTCACTTTCAACGGATGGTCCTGGAATGTAACATCCGCGATAAGTGAGGGAACACTGTATATAACTCCACTTTTCAACATTTATGTCAATGACCTGCCAGATTCCTCAGCAGCTTGAATGTTCACCTGCCAAAAATTGGTAACAGACACGTAAATACTCTTTTATACGCAGATGACATGATTTTGATGTCAAATACACAAATAGGATTACGAAGATTACTGAGCAAACTTAACACCTACGCCCACAAGAACAAGCTGACAATAAACAAATCTAAATCAAAAATAATGGTGTTTAGAAATTGCCCTTCTAGACACAAATAGGTTCTTGATGTAGAGCGAATAGAACAGGTTAACTCTTTTACATATCTAGGCTTGGTATATTCAGAGACAGGCTCATGGCTTGCACACTTTCAGTCTTGTGCGATCAAAACTAGGGCACGTTCTAACACACTGGCAAGATTGTTATCCCATAAATATCCTGGCTCTGTATCTCCGATAATCAAAGTATACAAAGCAAAAATTGTCCCCATGATATTATATGGAGCTGAAATCTGGGGCCTAAGCAAACTACCAATACTGGAACAAGCACAATCAAAATTTCTAAGACAGGTACTTGGTGTTGACATCAAGACCAACGCTGCTGCAGTAAGAGCAGAGCTAGAAATATATTCTGTCAAAGGACTTGCTAAAATCAGGGCCTTTAATTACTGGTCTAAAATAAGAAACCTCAGAAAAGATATTAAAAAATTCATATGGAAAGGTCAGAAAAACAGAATAAGTTATATAAACCTTTGCGACAGCAAGAGATGAGGAGGCTTGGCTCTCCCAGATCTACAAATGTACTATGAGGCAGCAGCCCTAAGCTGGTTAAAGGATTGGGTCACTTTAGAACAGTGTTTCTCAACCTGGGGGTCGGGACCCCTGGGGGGGTCGCGATGGGGTGTCGGAGGGGTCGCCAAAGACCATCAGGATACACAGTATTTTCTGCTGGTCATGGGAGTTCTGTGTGGGAAGTCTGGCCCAATTCTATTGTTGGTGGGGTTCAGAATGCTCTTTGGTAGTAGGTGAACTATAAATCCCAGCAACTACAACTGCCAAATGTCAAGATTCTATTTCCCCCAAATTCCACCAGTGTTTACATTTGGGCATATTGAGAATTTGTGCCAAGTTTGGTCCAGATCCATCATTGTTTGAGTCCACAGTGCTCTCTGGATGTAGGTGAACTACAACTCCCAAAACTCAAGGTCAATGCCCACCAAACCCTTCCAGTATTTTCTTTTGGTCATGGGAGTTTGTGCCAAGTTTGGTTCAATTCCGTTGTTGGTGGAGTTCAGAATGCTCTTTGATTGTAGGTGAACTATAAATCCCAGCAATTACAACTCCCAAATGTCAATGTCTATTTCCCCCAAACTCCCAACAGTGATCACATTTGGGCATATTGAGTATTCGTGCCAAGTTTAGTCCAGATCTATCAATGTTGGAGTCCACAGTGCTTTCTAGGTGAACTACAACTCCTAAACTCAAAGCCAATGCTCATTTAACCCTTTCATTATGTTTTGCTGGTCATGGGCATTTTGGTCAATTCCATCGCTGGTGGAGTTCAGAATTTGATTGTAGGTGAACTATAAATCCCAGCAACTACAACTCCGAAGGTCCAGAGAATGAAAATACATCCTGCCTATCAGATAATTACATGACAATTCATAACAATAGCAAAATTCCAGTTATGAAGTAGCAACGAAAATATTTTTAGGGTTGGGGGTCACCACAACATGAAAAACTGTATTAAGGGGTCGTGGCGTTAGGAAGGTTGAGAACCACTGCTTTAGAAAAAAGAAATTACTAGCCCTAGAAGGGCACGACCTCATGCAGGGATGGCATAACTACCTGTGGAGAGGGAAAGCTATGAAAGAGAAAAACTTAAAAATCACTTTATTAGGGCTGCCCTCATCCAGGTATGAGAAAAATACAAAACAAGATTTTATTCCAAAACCCCACTTTGGTTCTCTCCCAACGAAGCCAACCAGATAAGGGAGGTCCCAAGAGATAGGTGGTTAACAAGAACCCTGGACAACTTGGAAGTGCATCATAATAGAGATAGAAAACCCTCCCCATGAATGTGTTGAATGAATGTGTGTGAGTGTGTGAGAGCCTCCCCCCTTTTTTTCTTTCATTCCCTCCTCCTTTTTGCGGAGAAGCCTTCTCCATTGGGCCCTCTTATTCTTTTTTCCTACCCTTCTATCACAACCCAGGTTGTCCCCACAACCTGGGGATCACAACCAGACACAGCCTGAAGAAGAGAAGGCTGAGAGGAGATATGATAGCCATGTATAAATATGTGAGAGGAAGCCACAGGGAGGAGGGAGCAAGCTTGTTTTCTGCTTCCTTGGAGACTAGGACGCAGAACAATGGCTTCAAACTACAAGAAAGGAGATTCCATCTGAACATGAGGAAGAACTTCCTGACTGTGAGAGCCGTTCAGCAGTGGAACTCTCTGCCTGGAGTGTGGTGGAGGCTCTTCTTTGGAAGCTTTTAAACAGAGGCTGGATGGCCATCTGTCAGGGGTGATTTGAATGCAACATTCCTGCTTCTTGGCAGGGGGTTGGACTGGATGGCCCATGAGGTCTCTTCCAACTCTTTGATTCTATGATTCTACAGTGAAGACATCGGCCCTTGCGCTATGCTACTCTGCTGCTGAGTGCATGCCCAGTGTGGAACACATCTCACCACACTAAAACAGTAGATGTGGCTCTTAATGAGACATGCCGCATTATCACGGGGTGTCTGCACCCTACACCACTGGAGAAATTACACTGCTTAGCCGGTATTGCACCACCTGACATCCGCCGGGAAGTAGCAGCCAATAGTGAAAGGACCAAGGCAGAGACATCTCCAGCTCATCCCTTGTTTGGGTATCAGCCAGCACGTCAATGACTTAAATCAAGAAATAGTTTTCTAAGATCTACAGAGACACTCGCTGGAACACCTCAGCAAGCGAGAGTCCAAAAGTGGCAGGCTCAAACCCAGAACCTCAACCAATGGCTGATACCAAATGAGAGACTCCCCCCTGGGCACACAGAAGACTGGGTGACTTGGAAGGCGCTGAACAGACTGTGCTCTGGCACCACGAGATGCAGAGCCAACCTCAAGAAATGGGGCCACAAAGTGGAATCCACGACATGCGAGTGTGGAGAAGAGCAAACCACTGACCACCTGCTGCAATGCAACCTGAGCCCTGCCACATGCACAATGGAGGACCTTCTTGCAGCAACACCAGAGGCACTCCAAGTGGCCAGATACTGGTCAAAGGACATTTAATCAACTACCAAACTCACACATTTTGTATTTTCTCTGTTTGTTTGTTTTGTTCTGTCAGAAATGTAATACAATTGACTGGTTGCCCTGAGATGGCAAATAAATAAATATCACAACCCAGTTGTTCCACAATTTTTTATGTATTCAAAATACCCACAATAAAAATATTATAAAATAAAATAAGAAACCTCGAAAATAATAGACTTCCAAAATTGTGCTTTTTAGAACAATCTAATGGTGAAAACCAAGCTTCCTGGTCAGAACAATTAACAAGCTTCCTCTGCACCTGCAGATTACAAATTGCCTCCTTAGGCCAAAATAGGGATGCTGAAAAAAGGACAGTAACTCAAAGGATCCTAGATAAAGTAAAGACTCTCTGTATATATTTCAGATTTCAATATTAATGTCAAAAATATGTAGTATGATTTTACATAGGATTTGTGCTACATTAGAACAGTCAAGACAAATATCACTTAAGTAAAATAAACATTAAATATTAAATAACCAGAAAAATAAAATAAGGTGTAAACACTAAACTAATCTGGGAATCTGCTATTGCAACACATCCAACGAAGTGGTTTAAAACCAGTATATAAAAAAGATTAGGACTAAGTACGTTCCAGTCTACTTGGAATACACAAAGCTCATTCCAGAAAGATATAGCCACTCTGTCAAACACAGGAGCCTTGAAGTGGTTAGAGCGCTTTAAACATAATTTCCAGAGGAAGCCGTACCTAAAAGCTGATATGCCAAGGCACCTAAGAGGTGCTTTTACCAGGACAATAATTGAACAAATTGAATCCATGGAGACAAGGCTGATTCAATCATATCCCACATGAAGAAAGACTATGTATCGGTGGTGCCCCCGAAGTCGAAAATATGAACCACACTTTACATCACTGCAATCTATATGAAAAAGAAAGGAAACAATACGTATGGCCTTTTATTTGCAATAAAACAAGTTGGGATACAGTGGCCAAAACCTCATTTTTGTTGGCTGGTTTTAACCCCATTCTGACAACAAAAGTTGCCCTTTATTTGTTTAAAGCTGCTAAAAGGAGATCGGAGTACATAGATCAGATTGGGGTGCAGTATAGGGGAGACGAGGATAGTTGATGCATATATCTATGGCTACCTGTATATTTGTATTTAATTTTAAGACGACTAGATGTATCTTGTATGTTGTGTCTGCATTGTCTTGTTTTTGATAATGCCAACTGGCTAATCAATAAAAATTGTTGTTGTTGTTGTATATAATTCCACAAAAAATAGGATTTTTTTACAAGAATATACAAAATGGTGTTATTAATGTAAGTTAGAATCTATTTGTAGTGATTTGTTTATATAAGAATTTTTAAAAATGTAACTGGGTGCCACTTAGCATATCTATTTTTTTGTCCTCTTTGAATTTAGTTTGTAAAAACCACAGAAGTGACTATGACATTTGATTGAATGAAATAACCCGCAAGAAGCCTGATGAAGAGAATGTACTCCTGAAACAAGGACACAAAACACCCGGGAAATCTTGTTGTGTATTCCTAAGTTTGCTGAACACAACGCGAATTGTTTCCAAGTTTGATGTATTCTACGTGAACTATATTCCCAAGTTTATGGAACACTACGGTGTATTCCCAAGTTTGCTGAACACAATATGAATTGTTTCTAAGTTTGATATATTCAACGTGAACTATATTCCCAAGTTGTGGAACACCTTGTTAATATTTGTTGAAAACTTTGTGGACATACTGAAATTGATCTATTTGACCTATGCAATTATTTTGTAAATCTTATATATTGTGTTTGTTGCACTATCAAAGTGTGTCCTGTATGTACTATGAAAGTTACTTAAACTGGTATTGTACTTAGGTCATTATAATAGGGCAATTACATATTTAAAATTGTTTTTGATAAGGCCAACTGGCTAATCAATAAAAATTGTTGTTGTTGTTGTTGTATATAACTCCACAAAAAATAGGAAATTTTTACAAGAATATACAAAATAAATGTTGGAAATGTGGAACTCAAGAAAGCACATTCTACCATATGTGGTGGACATACCCAAAGGCAAAAAAAAAATGGAAAGTGATTCAAGAAACATCCCAGAAAATAATAAAAACTAAATTACAATTGAAACCAGACTATTTTCTATCAGGATGAACAGATATAGAACTAGATCTGGATATAAATTGTGCCGACTGTAAACTGCCTTGAGTTGCCGTCGGGCTGAGAAAGGCGGTACATAAATACGGTAAATAAATGAATAAATAAATAAATGAAGACAATTTATTCAACGACATGACTACAGCTGCAAGGCTCATATAGGCGAAAAATTGGAGGCAGAAAGGCACTCCAACGGAGGAACAATGGATAATGAAAATGATGGACATTATGAGCACGGACAAATTAACCTAATTACCATCAAGGAAAACAAATGGATCTAGAACAAAAACAAATTGGCAGCCTTTCAAAGACTACCTTACTCAAGGAAAAATAAAAATATAAGTCCCTAACAACAAAGAAGAGCGGCCTGCGGAGAAAACGAAAAGAAGAGATAAAATATGGAGAAAAAAATAACAGCTTTAAAAAGAAACCACGACACAAAAGATGGGAAGACCAAGAATCTGACACCCCTATTTCCTACCCATGCCCCGAACTTACCCTCACCCCCCTACCCCTTATAGGATTTGCCCTTTATTTATTTACAGTATTTATATTCTGCCCTTCTCACCCCGTAGGGCAGATTACAATATGCATATACATGGCAAATGTTCAATGCCATAGACCAGGTGGGCTGATAAAGCCCTCCAAGGTCATTTACCCGGCCCTCGCTCAGGGTCAACCTAAGTCTGAAATGACTTGAAAGCACACAACAACAACAACAATTCTATCTCATCAGCCAAAAGCAGGCCCACACTTCCCACTGAAATACTAATAAGTTTATATTTGTTAAAATTGTTCTTCATTTTAATTATTGTATATTTTAAGTGTTTTTGCACTACAAATAAGATATGTGCAGTGTGCATAGGAATTCATTCATGTTTTTTTTTCCAAATTATAATCCAGCCCTCCAACAGTTTGAGGGACTGTGACCTGGCCCACTGTTTAAAAAGTTTGAGGACCCCTGCCATAGACATACAACATATATAGACAGACACAGAGGCAATTTAACACTCCAGCTTTCCGGCTTCATGAGGGTATGCTCGATTCCGGCCATAGGGGGAGCTGCCGCTTCACTGTCCACTTATAATAATAATAATAATAATAATAATAATAATAATAATAATAATAACTTTATTTATACCCCGCTGCCATCTCCCCATGGGACTCGGTGCGGCTTACATGAGGCCAAGCCCAAATACAACAATACAAACAATAATAACAACAATACAAGCAATTAAAATCAAACACAGACAATAAAACAATAACGTAAGCATTAACAATAAGACAACACACTATTAAAAACTATGGGAAGGCCAAATGTAAATTGAAATTAAAAATAATGCTGGACATGGGTGAAAAAAGTGATGGGGCGTTTGTGGAAAACATACAAACAGACCTAAAACAATGTGAAGTGCTTTGGAGGACAAAGTGCTGTGGGATCATTATTCTGGGAAGGCACACTGGAACAACCACGTCTTCAAGCTCCTTCTAAAGACTGCCAGAATTGGGGCATGCCTGATGTCCTTAGGAAGTGAGTTCCAGAGTCGAGGGGCCACCATCGAAAAGGCCCTCTCTCTCGTCCCCACTTGTGACACCAAATCCTTGATGGAGTACTTCCTCATTCTTATGCACGCTGCTGGAAGGTTTTATGGTGTTGTAAATTAGTTAAATCAGCCTCCCCGCATCAAGCGGCACCTAAATTTCCTATTTGACAGATGCAGCTGTCTTTTGGGCTGCATAGGTCAACAGTAAGCTGGACTATTAATGGTTGGGAGCTCACTCCAACCCGGGCTGGCTTCAAACTCACGACCTCTCAGTCAGTAGTGATTTAATGCAGCTGGCTACTAACTAGTTGCACCAATGCCCCTTAGACCCCAGGAGAGTTCCCCAGTTTTCCATCCCTACATTCCAATCTGTGCTTTTCCTCATTCTATTCCCTTCTTACTTGCTTAATGATTTTATTAATATGTGTGTTAGAGAATGTTAATAATTTTTTAAAAAAAGGTGCAAGCAGAAGCTCATCCATCACACTTACTGGTGCAACACCACAGTCACATCTAGAAGTGGATCTACACTGTGGAATTAATGCAGTTTGACCACAAACTATGCATTTCGGTACTGCCCTCTGCATTGTCCACTCGGCAGACTTACATTAGTTGCAACTTGTCCCGAAATGCCGCCCTGATCCGCTCCTCCCAAGGCGAAGCCATGGGATGGCGTTCAACTTTTCCAAAACCTCCAAAAGCAAACCCAGAGCAGCTTGCAAGAAGGAGCCAGAGGCGCGAGCCCCTTCTCGGTTGCCAAGGAGACGGCCCGCACAACGTTCTGTTGCCATGGCCACGCGTCCCGGGCTGGAGCCCCGCCTCCAGGCATCCAAGCTGCACCTCCTGTCCAATGAATGCAGCACTTTAAATGCCACCTTTAAGTGCTATGACATCCTGGGAGCTGTAGTTTGGCGAGGGACCAGCAGTTGCCAGAGCAGGCTCAAGACCTTGGGAAACTGCAATTCCCAAGCTCCTATAGCATTGAAACTCCTCACCAAAGTCATAGGATGCGTCTGTGCTGTGGAATGGATGCAGTTTGAATCCACTTGAACTGCCTTGGCTCAATCTACAGGATCCTGAGAGTTGTAGTTTTGTAAGGTCTTGAGCCTTTCCTGCCCAAGAGTGCAAACTACAACTCCTAGGATCCCAGAGCAATCAGCTAAGTCAGTTCAAGTAATGCCAAATTACAGTATTATTATTATTATTATTATTATTTGAAACATCACAAGATGAGTCCACAGTATTCACTCTGCTGGCTGTTTTATTGGATCACACGTCGGACACTTCCCAAGTGTCTAGGACTGTGGGATGTATTGGCGAATAATGCGTGCAGGCTCCAGTAAGGTGGCCTTTTGCAGCTGACAGTTGGTAATCTTCTCAGCGCCGATTGTATTTAAGTGCAGACCAAGGTCTTTAGGCACTGCACCCAGTGTGCCGATCACCACTGGGACCACCTTTATTTATTTATTTATTTATTTATTTATTTATTTATTTATTTATTTATTTATTTATTGCGTTGTCAAAGGCTTTCATGGCCGGAATCTCTGGGCTGCTATGAGTTTTCCACACTGACTGGCCATGTTCCAGAAGCATTCCCTCCTGACATTTCATCCGCATCTATGGCAGGCATCCTCAGAGGTTGTGAGGTCTGTTAGAAACTAGGCAAGTGGCGGTTATACGCATATAATGTAATGTGTAATGTGCAGAGTGGGAGAAAGAACCCTTTTCTATTGGAGGCAAGTGGGAATGTTTCAATCGGCTACCTTGATTAGCATTAAATGGCCTTGCAGCTTCAAAGCCTGGCTGCTTCCTACCTTGGGGAATCTTAGGACCCTAGGACCCTAAGATCTTCTGGCGAGGCCCTACTCTCAGTCCCGCCTTCTTCACAGATTCGGTTGGCGGGAACGAGGGACAGGGACTTCTCAGCGGTGGCCCCTCGGCTATGGAACGCCTTCCCTAGGGATATCAGATTGGCCCCCACCCTCCTAACATTTCGCAAAAAAGTTAAAACCTGGCTCTTTGAGCAAGCTTTCCCAAATGCAGTGTAGCAGACAAACTCTGATCTTCAGAAAGACTGGACAATGTGATTGGATAATTATTTTAGTAATGAGACGCTGAGGATTTATACTTTTATCGGTTTTATTATTTTATTTAATGTTATTTATGATAAATGTTTTAATGGTTTTTATGTTATTGCGGGCATCGAATCATGCCATTTGTAAATTGCCCTGAGTCGTCCTCAGGCTGAGAATGGCAGTATATAAATATGGGAAATAAAATAAATAAATAAAACAAAATAAAATAATAAATAAATAATCCTTGATTGGGAGATGTTAGCTGGACCTGAAACTGAGGAGGAACAACCCGGAGCTTCCTGCCTTCAAGCTGATCTGATCTGCAGCAGGGAGTTCCATGGTTCCCAGTTGTCCAATTGGGCCAACAACAGCTGCAGCCAAAAGACCTCCTTTTGCTTTGTTTTGCTTTGCTTTCTTCCCCTCAACCTAACATTGTAACAAATCACCCCAATAAAGTATCAATTAATTGTAACCTTTCCCTCTCCATAGTGATACATTGTGTCTTTTTACTGCCTCCAAACCCTTTCCATCATAAACTTTCACTCTCCTGGGCCACAGACAGTTGCTGGCTCACCCGGGATGCGATTCTAGCATCCTGGGGAGGCCGAAACTGCGTTCCTCTGAACCGCTGATACGGAAACCCACTGGGCCCCCGTATCCGCAGGTACACGGATTGCTCTCAAACTGGTGCCATTCTTCTCCAAGACCAATTTCATGAGTAATGGCTATCTCGCTTTTGTTCTATTAACCCTTCCGTCCCAGGAATAACCTTTTTTGCACCCTAAAACTTCACATGGAGATCAGCGGTCCCCTTGCTACCATGTTGTTGCTGCCTCCATCTCATTGATGCCAAAGAAGCCTGTTGACCTGGGTAACCTACTGCGGTCACCCTTTTGGGACCCTTGGGAAGCAGACAGGTATTCCTGGCCCCCTGACAAGATGGGATTTATAGTTTTCTTCACTCCAGTGAATGAACCCCAACCCTCTGCGCTTGCAATGGTTCCTATATGAACCCAATGGACTCAGAAAAACCTTTCCCCTTAACTTTATGAACTCTGCAGAATTTTATTGGACTTATCCCAACTTTTGGCAAACTTTTTGAACTTTAGGAAACTTTTTCCTTTCCAAACCTCATGGACTTTCACTATGATTTATGGACTTTGGTGGGTAGGATGGGCTGATATGATTTCTTTTCCCCTCTTTATGAATGTATACCCTATGAACCCCATATATATATATCTGTATAGAATATGAAATGTCACCTTTTTGTGTACCTAGCCAAACATGGGCCCAGGAGACTTCCTCTCCCCTCCTGGGCCAGAAAAGCCCCCAAACAAAAGGACTCAACAGAAACTCTTGCATGGACAATAAGACAATGGGCACAATCCCCCGGACCTCGGAGTAATCCAAGTTAGCCCATCCGGGGGGATGTGCCCCATGGCAGATTCAATCACTCCTCACAATGAGGGACATCTTGCCTGAGGAGGCTATTGATGTCCCCACAGTCTCCTTCTTTGTTGACATCCCCCAGGCCGATACCAAAGACAAATACCATCAATAAAGCCATATCCCCAACCCAAGGATTTCCAAAGGGTCTGACTTTTGGGTTAGACAAAGATTTATATTGCCAGTGTTCAAGACAATAGAAAAGCCAGCTTGAAGACTGTCAAGGTTATCGCGGGCGATTATTCAAACATTGAGTCACTTAATCCATTCATTTCTTCATTGTTTCCTGCCTGTACCACCTCCTTCATCCCCATTGGCCGAGAGGTTGAAGCGGCACTGGCTTGCTGATTGGCTGAGGCACGCCTGAGCTGGCTATGCCTCTCCTCCAGCTGACGATGCCGTCCAATCAGCACAAAGCCGGTGAGGGGGGGGTGGGAGTGGGAAATTCAAATTCGACAGCTCTGTTTTTCCTATAAAAATGTACTGTTTCACCTTGTAAAACATGTCAGCTTTTGGCAAGGGATCGCAGTTTGACATCCGTACCAGCTGGGATGAAATAAAGACAACTCGGTGGCATTTTCTTCAACTTTTGTGAGACTTTTATTAGAAAAATCAGGGAAAACTCTTTTGGTGCTTCTTTTCCTCGCCAGGGCTGAAACCGACTCTCTTTGGTGGGTCTGACTGGTCTGACTGAAACAGAAAGGAGGAAACCATGAAAATGAACAAAATCTGGCTACCAGTATTAAAAAAAACCTCTAGAATCAGGACAGTAAATAAAGAGCAACACTCAGAAAACAGGAATTCCAGACAAGAAACAATCAGGTTTATTATTGTATAAACACCATGGACAAAATCTATATAAACATCAATATATTCAATCAAGAAAAACATCCATAATAAACATTAAACAATAAGTTCTCCTTCACAAAATGTTGTGAGTTCTCAACAGTTTCTCGTTATCACTTTTTTGGAATGTTATTAAACAAAAGTTCGGATAATGTTTCTTCTGTAGAATGTTAGGCAATTAAAGACCAGTAAACTCAACAAAATAGCCCACTTCAGAAGAAGACCTACAAGCCACTCTAAGCACCTTCACAGAAGCATACGAGAAGCTCGGCCTGTCAATGAACATTGAGAAAACCAAAGTGCTCTTCCAGCAGTCACCAGCCAATCCCTCTCCGATGCCAGAAATACTGCTTAACGGTATAACGTTAGAAAATGTTGACCATTTCCGCTACCTTGACAGCCACCTCTCCACAAAAGTCAACATTGACACTGAAATACAACACCGCCTGAGCTCTGCGAGTGCAGCATTTTTCCAAATGAAGCACAGAGTGTTTGAGGACTAGGACATCCATAGGGAGACCAAGGTGCTTGTTTAGAAAGCTATTGTACTCCCAACCCTGCTATAGGCCTGTGAGATGTGGACTATCTACCGTCATCACATGCAACTCCTAGAATGATTTCATCGGCATTGCCTCCGAAAAATCCTGCAAATGCCTTGGGAAGACAAGCGGACAAATATCAGTGTGCTGGAAGAAGCAAAGACCACCAGCATTGAAGCAATGGTCCTCCGCCATCAACTCCACTGGACCGGCCATGTTGTCCAGATGCCCAACCACCATCTCCCAAAGCAGTTGCTCTACTCCGAACTCAAGAATGGAAAATGGAATGTTGGTGGACAGGAAAAGAGACTTAAAGATGGTCTCAAAGCCAACCTTAAAAACTGTGGCATGGACACTGAGAACTGGGAAGCCCTGGCCCTTGGAGCTCCAGATGGAGGTCAGCTGTGACCAGCAGTGCTGTAGAACTTGAAGAGGCATGAATGAAGGGCAAAAGAGAGAAATGTGCCGAGAGGAAGGTGCGTCAAGCCAACCCCGACCGGGACCCCCTTCTACCTGGAAACCAATGCACTCACTGCAGGAGAAGATGCAGATCAAGAATTGGGCTCCACAGTCATCTACGTACCCACCACCAGGACACTGATCTTGGAAGACCATCTTCCTCAGACAACAAGGGATAGCCTAAGTAAGTAAGTAAGAAATCTATGTATCTATGTATAAGTGTTAAGTTGTTCAATACTAAATCAATTATCATTGAATTACACAATGCATATATTATATAAAATAAGATTATTATTGTATCAACACCATGGGCAAAATCTATATAAACATCAGTATATTCAATCCAGAAAAACATCCATAATAAACATT